AGCACACGTAAACCCACTCTTACTTTCTTTATTTGATAATGTAACCCCATGCAAAGAAGGAAAATGTATCTTCTATACTCAGCCTAAGACCCACTCTGAAAACAATGAGGACTAGCTGCTGGTAGATTTCTCTTTCACTCTGCCCTTGGAACCAGGCCAGAGTCTGGGCTTCAAAGTATATCTAAGTGAAAGTTCATTTCAGCTTTATCAACAAACATGAGTGCGGCCAAGTAATGTTGAATTGCTCTTATGTAAACAGTTCTTATCTGTAATTTCCTTTTGAAAATAACTATTGTGTTTTTTTAATAAGCCAATAAAACATTTCTTTTGTGATTCCTGCCATATATTTTTCATTGAAATGCCACCATTAAAACTGTTAAAATTGCTAAGATTAAAAAAACAAACCTGTTTGCTCTTTTGTATGGGCAAAACCATGTGAGTTGGAATCCATTTGAGAGCAAAGAGTTTGGTTTGGGGTTTTGTTTACTTGTTTATTAGATAATAAGGATTGAGTGAGAGGATATTTCTATATTTATTTTACTGTCAAGACCTTCTAGCTATGGCTTCAGAACAATACAACAGAACAAGGGAACACTACATGGTTCAAAATCAGGAAAGTTGTCTGACAAGTTTGCATCCTTTTACCCTTCTTATTGAATCTGTTTGCTGAGCAAATAATCAGAGTAGTTGGATTATATGAAGAAGAATGTGGTATCCGGATGGGAGAAAGCCTTATTAACAACCTTCTATGGACAGATGGCACAACCTTGCTTGTTGAAAGTAGAGAGAAGCACTTGCTGATGAAAATCAAGCATTGCAACCTTTAGTATAGATTACAACTCAATTAACAAAGACCAAAATCCTCTCCACTGGATCATGATAAATGGATAAAAGTTTGAAGTTGTCAAGGATTTTGTCTTGCTTGGATCCACAACATAACCTCATAGAAGCAGCAGTCAGGAGATGAAAAGATGCATTGCGTTGGGTAGATCTGCTGCACAAGACCTCTTAAGCATACTGAAAAGGTTGCTTAGCCCAAGCTAGAGTATTTTCAATTACTTCATATACATGTGCACGTTAGACACTAACTAAAGAAGAGAGGAGAATGATGGATGCATTTGAATTGCGGTGCTGGTGAAGAATACTGAAAGTCCCATGGACTGCCTAAAGGGCAAACAAATCTGTCTTGGAAGAAGCACAGCCAGAATGCTCCTGAGAGGCTAGGATGGCAAGATGTCACCTTAGCTACTTTGGACATGTTGTCAGGACAGAACGGTCCCTGGAGAAGGACAGCATGTGTGGTAAGAGGAAGGCCCTCAAGGAGAGGTTTAGACACAGTGGCTCCAAAAATGGGCTCAAGTCTAGAAAAAAAATTTTGCAAGGATGACTCAGAGCAGGGCAGTGTCTCATTCTGTTGTGCATAAGGTCACTATGGGATGGAATAGATTTGAGACCATTTAACAACAATCAGATGGTTTTGATTCATAACCATCCTATAAGAAAGTACAGAACTGCTCCTTTGACTTTGAAACCTTAAATGTACAAGAGAATCAACCTGATGGCCATGAGTTCTTTGGACGTCAAGGGCTATTTACATGACGTTCAACAAATTCACATTCTGAGGCACACAGTAAAAGAAATTTTAACACAACTGATAAAGAATGTATCATGCATTTAAAATCTGCATCAAAATGGAGTCTGGATCAAATTTGGTTACTGTATGTATTTATGAAATCACAGTTTACTGGATCACACTACTCAAACCTTCACTCTAAGTAGTCATACTGTCCAGGGTGTAAAGAATCAAGGGCAGACATGCCACATGGAGATGCTTTGTGGAGCTGTAGGAGAAAATCTCAAATATGTACTCTGAAAGCTGCCTTAAATGACTACGTTTTTGAAGATATTTGCTGATCTCTGCACAGCAGCTTTTGTATGTTGGCTAGCAGAGTAACATCAAATATAAAGAGAAAAATACCAGATAAACAAATCAAATTACAGTAACACTTCATTAAATGCAAGGATGTGAATGTCCAGTAAGTAAATATGAGCACAACACACTGACCTATTAAGTATGTCTATTGAAGCACATTTGAATTTCAAATGCTACTCCTGTAACTTAAAATCTGAAAGTTGCGAATGTTACAAAAGTTTTAAAAAGTAAATTCTCTTAAATCACCTAAGTCAATTCTGACCATTATTTATATTTGCACTGACTTTGTGTTTAATCAAATTAATGTGAGTAGGCTTAGGGGCCGAGCAGGGGTAGGATTTATCTTTCCACAAAAGCAATAAAGATGAAGTGAGAATATTAGTCTTTCTCTCTCTCTTAGTCTTTTTGCTGTTGAACTAAATTCATGACTCTAGAGGGTCCTGTAGGGAAGAATAGGTAAATCATACCAAGTCTTTCATGAAACCAATGACACTTCTCGTAATGTTACCATAAATACGTTTTCCAGTGTGTCTAAAGGTGCCATATATATAACAGATCTTTGAAATCCCAGTAGATGCCCTTTGTTTCTCCTTTGCTAAATAGCAAGGCAAAATATAACAACATAAATATTTAAATGTCTTAAAAACAAATATTTTTATAAAATATCTACTTGTAAATTGGGAGTATCTACCGAGGCCTGGTAGCACTGTACAGTAAGCATTGGACTGCTAATTTGAAAGACTGGGAGTAAAACCCTATCGGTCACTGCTTGACAGATAGATGAGGCTATCCTACTTCCATGAAGATTTATAGCCTAGGAAACCCTACATAGGATTGTTATGAGTTTGAATCAATTGATGTGTGCATATCTACCAAGGCATATGTAAGAGAATGTTCCTTGCATATCTTTCAGAGTGATATGGTGTTGGAGGCAACTGAGAATTCCACCCCTGGGGGAATGTTGTTGACATTAGCAGCTGTTCAGCTGGTTCGGACTCCTAGTGATCCCACGCACACCAGCATAAAACACTACCCAGGCCTGTGCCACCCTCACCCTTGTTCCTATATCTGAGCCCCCTTGATGCAATCGTTGTATTAATACATCTTGTTGAAGCGCTTCCTCTCTTTTGCTGCCCAACCACTTTACCAAACAAGATCTCCTTCTCTGGGGATTGTTATATTCTGATAACATGTCCGAAGTTCTTGGGATGAATTCTCACTATCCTTCCCTCTAAGGAGCATTCTGGCTATAATTATTCCAAACAGATTTGTTTGTCCTTTTGACACACGGTACTTTCAATATTCTTCACCAGTACCATCATTCAAACGGACAATTCTTCTTGGGTCTTCCTTATTCAATATTCAACTGTCCCATGCATATGAGGTAATTAAAAATACCATGTCTTACATCAGCCTCACCTTAGTCCTCAAAGTATCATCCTTGCTTTTCAACATTCTAAAGAACTCTTATGCAGTCTATTTACCCAGTGCAATATAGTCATTGGATCTCTTGGCTGCTACTTCCATGAGCATTGATAATGGATCCAAGTAGATGAAACCATTGACAACATCAATCTTTTCTCTGTTTATTATGATGCCACATACTGGCCCAGTGGTAGAGGATTTTGGATTTCTTACACTGAGCTATAATTCATACTGAAGGCTGAGTCCTTGACTTTCACCAGCAAGTGCCTAAAGCCCTTCTCACTGTCATCAAGCAAGGCAGGGTCTTCTCTCCATTTCAGGTTGTTAATAAGCCTTCCTGCAACCCTGACTCCTCTTCACATAATCCACATCCTCTGATTCTTTGTTAAGCATACAGATTGAATAAATACATACAGATTGAATATGGTGAGAGGATGTAACTTTGATGCACACCTATCCTCACTTTAAGCCATTCAATATGCCCTTGTTCTGTTCACACAACTGCCTCTTGATCCATGTACAGTTTCTGCATGAGCACAATGTAGTGTTCTGCGATTCCCATTCGGAGAGAATAGATAGGTAAAATTTGGAGCATGAACAATATGGGTAATTATAGAATAGTTGTATCCTATAGATTAGATTCCCCATTGCAATATAATTGACCTTAAAGGTATAATGCTTGATGGAACATATGTAAGAAAATGAGATATATATAACACAGTGCTCAGTGCTTTGTGTGTGTGTATAAAAAAACCTTTTTTCTCCCCAAAGTACATATAAACCAAAAGAAATGTGCAATGACTGAAGAGAAAGAACATAAACTCAATGTGGTGAGACTAGAGTCTATTTAAAAACAAAACAAACATACCATCATAGTCCCCAACCATATGTTGTCTAAAGAAAATGGAGGAAAGAAACAGAAAACATACCTATATACTCAAATATAAGCTGAGTTTTTCAGCACATTTTTAATGCAGTTTTTGTGGTAAATTAGGTGCCTCTGCAGATATTCGGGTTATGGTGTATTAGTCTGGGTACATTAGAGAAACAAATCCACAAAAACTCATATTTATAAGTGAGAGTTTTATATAAAGGGTAAGTGCACATAAACATAAAATATCACAACCCAGTGCTGCCCAAGTCCACAAGTCCAACATTAACCCATTAATCCATATGTCCGACACCAATCCACAAAGTCCTCCTCCATCTCACAAAACACACACTATGATGAGGACTGCAGGAGGAAAGCTGAATGAGTGAACATATAAGCATCTCATCACTGGCAGGGGTCTCCACATAACTGCTCCAGCACCCAGAGCTGCATCGGGGTAGGTCCATGTGGCTTCTCCTCAGGGATGTCTTACAGGAAGTGAGCCTTGCAAGCTGAAGCAGGGAACTGCTAAGGCAGCTGCACCATGGTCCGACCACCACAAAGCAGGAGACCTGAGAACTCAAAAGGTGAAGCTCACCGGACCGTTAATCTTTCCACCCTTCAATTAACTCCACATGTGTTTATCAGCCAGGTTGGCACAATAAACTTTAACTTTCTCATATGGTAATGCTTTATCATCCAATTTCCCTGTTCTTACACATAATTTCCTTCCTTCCTTACTTCATTCCTTCATTCCTTCCTTCCTTCCTTCAGGTGAGAGTTTAACACACAGTCCCCCACAGTCATTAATTATGCAATTGAGTTTCCTACAATTGGGGAAATCACAGGGTCAGCACAACAGGAGTGCAAAGAGTAAGCCTTGCCCCAGGAAAAACACTTTTGTGGTGATGGTGTCTCCTTAATCAGGTAAGTTTTATGCTTAGTTTTTTAAAAAGAACTACCACTGGAATTTTATGGACTCATAATATAAAGCTCAGGATTGAGAGCAAACTAGAACTTTTCCCTCATAAATTTAAATTCTCTTTGTAACATTTCCTCCTGGGGTCTATCAAGCCTATATAGAAACATTTACATTGAAGAAGGCACATTGTCTTTTGAGGCAGCACACCACTTTACACTGTATGAAGTTATTCTATAGTAGGAAACCAATTGGAGCATAAGTAAGCCTAGCTACTTTGGTGCAGGAAGAAATTCTTTATCAGATATAAAGCAGTGGTTTCTCAAAGTTCAGGAAAGGAACCAAAGGCATCCATATCCAGACGCAGAGGGAAGGAAACTGGTTTCAGAAACAGATATCTTAGTTACCACACCAAATCGACTGAATCAGAATCTCTAATTCTAGAAATTAGGTTTCACACATTTTCATTCCTACCAAGTGAATCTCACACTTTGTGGGAAACAGAAGGATTTCTCTCAAGCGGTCTCCGCCAAATATATGCCAGACTTAGCTGCTTGAGAATGACTATACACTTGGAGGTCATCAGGAATAGATTAGGGGTCATTCTCCCTAAGAGCTATCAGCCACCTGGAGCAAGCAGATGCCACTGTTTATCCCACAACAAGTAGGGCCCACTCCCTTCTGATAAGGATAGCAGTTGTCTGTTTCCTTGTATGAGACGCCAGAGAGGTCAAACCCACCCAAGGATGACCAAGGTTAGGCTGCCATCATGAATCTAGGGTCCGCCCATCTTGTCACATGTATAACTCTAGACCTTCCCATTCCTATGGGCACACCCCTAGCTCATCCCCTTCCTGTTATGCTTATGCCTATCATAGATCCCCTCCCTACAATGTGTATGCCTATTGTACAACCCCTTCCTGTGACGTATGTCTTCACCTGTAATTAGGGGGCTTGCATGTCCCCAGAGAAGATAAAAGCTTGGGAAGCATTAAAGTTTCTCTCTCTCCCTCCATGTGGACCACCAAGTGGGGCTGAGGTGAGCAATGCTACCATGAATTGTGTCTGACTCCATTACTTGACTCTATCCTTTAACTCTCATGCTCTCTACGACTTTACTATAATCTTTACTTATTATCACTGTACAATTGCACCTACCAGACCTGTGATGTTTTGTGGGGAACCCCTCTCACCTTAAGCCCACAACACTTAAGAACGTTTCAGAATGCGTAATAACAGAGAGGCCATAGCTGACCTCCTCTGGCTACATAAGGGGGGGGAAGGAGAATCCAATGCCTTGCCAGCTCATGGCCTATTGCCATGAGGCAGTGGTCAGCCACTCATCCTTTTTACCCTCTCTTGACACTATTCATTCCTCCCATGGCACTCCACTTCTATATGGGGTTTGATAATCTGTTAACTATGGCCACAGAGAACTTCACACCGACAGTTCTCACAATTATGGAGGTTTATTAAATCAAAGATTTCAGCTTTCAGTATGGACTCCAACTCAATGTGAAGAAGACCAAAATACTTCCCACTGCATCAATAGGTAACATCACACTAAACAGAGAAAAGATTGAAGTTGTCAAAGATTTCATCTTGCTTAGATCCACAATCAATGCTCATGGAAGCAGCAGTCAAGCGATCAGAAGAGTGCATTGGGTAAATCTGCACCCCAAGACCTTTTCTGAGTGTTGAAATGCAGGGAGGGGACTTTGAGTCTAAGGTGCACCCGACTCAAGCTGTGGTATTTTCAATTGCGTCATACGCATGTGAAATTTGGACTTAAATCAAAGAAACCTAAAGAAGAATTGATGCTTCTGAATTATGGTGCTGGCAAAGAATGTCGAAAATACCATGGTGTGGAAAGAGGGCAAACCAATCTGTCTTGGAAGAAGTTAGACCAGAGTGCTCTTTAGAAGGAAGGATAGTGGGATTTCATCTCACATACTTTGGACATGTTGTCAGGAGAGACCAGTCCCTAGAGAAGGACATCATGCTTGGTCAAGTAGAGGAACACTGCGAAAGAGGAAAGCCGACAATGAGATGGATTGACATAGCGGCTGAACGGCTGGGCTCACGTACAGGAACACTAGTAAGGATGGCCCAGGACTGGACGGTGTTTCCTTCTGTTGTGCATGGAGTCCGTTGCAGTGGGCTGGAGCTGACAGGATGACACCCAACAAACGGGGTGCCGCAATTCAAGATGAGAAAACATTACAGACATAGTGTTCTGCCCAGGCAATACCTCTTTTCAGCCACATCTCCCTCTGGTCCTTAGCCTCTCAGTCACGTGGTTCCATCACTTCTGCCTCCATGGCTGACTGAGAAGCCTGTTTGCTGTTGCACGGCCCTGTTTCCAGACTTCAGGACTCATGGGCACAGCCTCTCCGCTGTCTCACAGCATGGCTCCTTTGTTCAGTTCCATGGTCTCTGAGGCTTCTGGTGTTGGCCTCGGCCACTTTAGGCAGGTTTCTCAAACATAATCCACTGGCACTTCCATGGTCATGAGCTCAGGGGTTTAAACCTACCAATTGCTAAGCTGGATAAAGTTGAATATGTCCACTGCCTTAAAGGTTTAGTGTTGGAAATTCAGAGCAACAGTCCTAGCATGTATTACAGGCTCACCATAAATAGGCTTGGTTTCGATTTTGCATGTTCCTATTGATAAGAGCATTTAAGATGCTCTGGTGGCAAGCAATTATGTATTTTTTCCAGTATCTGAAGTTCACACATTACCTTCTCAATCATTGGCTAAAAAGTTTGATTCACTTTGAAATTTAAGATAGATTAAAAAAACACACCCCACTTATCACTAAATGTTAGTGTTACGTTTGTTTGTTATTGAGTTGTTCAAAACACATCAGGAAGATACTGAAAACATTATGATTGCAATTAAATGCTTATCTTGTAGCAACAAAGAACTATTCCTCTAGTAAGTATCCCCTGGCAGTTATCCATTTCAAAAAAATAAATTCCCTTTCAATACTGTTGATAAAAAAGCGAATTTATCAGTCGAATGGAAAGAGGCAGCAGGAGAGAAAGCACCGAAGTCTCCACGGCGGTGGTGTGCGTCACATGTGTGCATCCCTTTTCCTAAGAGGGTTCTATGGGGCCAACACGGTTCTGAACTGGACGCTTAGAAGCCAAAATGGTTTGCTGTGAGCTGCTGAGAAGACCACGTTTCCCCTGTCATCCTTTCTCACCTCAGCAATGGAACATTTACAATTATGCAGAGGAAATAAAGAATGAAGGGGGTGTACTTTTTCTAACAACGTCAAGTTGAAATGGACAGGGCATAATAAGCCAACAGGGGATCAGATCATGGCGGTTTCTGAGGCTGCGATCATCCTCATCGATTCAGCTTTACAAAGGTTTGAATTCTGGCAGTGATGCCAAACTTAAACTTGTGACATTTCCTCTTGATTTCCCTCTCTAAATACTAACAGAAAACCACTCGCATTGTAGACACACACATCGATCCCATGCCTCTTGTGTGCATGCTCACCGCCCCCTCGTCCCCAGCTCTCTAAGGAGAGCAATCTGGCCATCTAGAACATTACAAAGCCTACTAAGGACCAACTCTTTAAGGACCAGAAAGCAGGTAATATTTTTGCTAGTGAGTTAAAGCTGGAGTATTCCCTTTGTCATAGCCAAATTTATGACATGGATCAAAAACTATAAAAAGCTATGTTGCATCCTGCCATTAAGGAGAATTAATATTTTCAGTGGTATGTTAACCAAACTTTTTCCAGTGTCTCTCGTTAAAAGCAGATTGTTGACTTTTCATCATGGTGTGCCAAACATTTTCATTGAAACCCTAACAAGACTTTCATCTTACAACCATTATTTCTTAATGGACTTGGATAGGAGCAATGTAAAAGAATGGTTTTGCTTTGCAGCATTGCGGCATTCGGCAATGGCCCGTCATTAGCGCCCTGGGCCTTGCCGAACCATTACATATGTAGACATTTAAGGCATTTCCAGGGTGACTTTAGTTTTTCCCTGAAGCACAATTCATGTTTTATCTATTATGCTTCAGCAACTTAGGCTCTTTTTCCACTTTCATGTATATTATGATCCATTCTATTTGGCTGTCCAGTAAAACCCATAATAAATGAGATCATTCTCCTACACACACTCACACACACACACACACACACACACACAACATTTTAATGTTTTTGTTTTTCCTTTAATTGAGGGTATTTATGGAATTTCCCTCTGTGCTTAGGATATGGATACATCTTTTTAAAAACCCCAAGCTCCATAATTTAACAACAATCTACATAACAGATTCCCCAAATGTATATATATTCTCAAACATCCTTGCTTTTATGTGTACTGGGACCAAAGAAAAGTCTTGCCGGCTGGGTGATAAAAGGTGCAGTGAAAACAGAAAATCTCCTTTTTCTGCTTTTTTCCATTTCGCTGGGATTGGGTTGTGTGGTGGGAGAATGCTGATGCTGCGTTTACAATGCTGATGCTGACCACGCTCAATTGCCCAGTAAGCACCTGGGTGCCTTGCAGTCTGTTCTGACTCACCGCCACTCTCACAGTTGAGAGTTGCTGAGATGATTCAACGTTTAGGGAACAGACAACCTCATCTTTCTCCTGCATAGCAGCTGGTAGGCTTGAACCACTGACCTTGTAGTTAGTAGTCCAATGCATATCCTATAGCACCACCAGGGCTTAATTTACCCAATAACACCTTCTCTGCCCCCACCCTCCCCAACCAATCACATATGCAGTGTCCATGACAATTAAACATAGAAATAGGAACTTTGACTTCCAGTCTGATTTCTGACTTGAATGTGCTGACCAATATCAATGTTCAGTACGTTATGATATGCTTGGTCAAATTGAATGGTAGGATGAGAAACCACTCTATTGCCCTTGAAATGAACCAGCTGACAGCCACCTAATGTTAGTCATCAAAGTCTGATAAACTTCTGGAATTCAAGAACATGGGGAGCAAGGCAATTTATTAAGGAAAAAAAAAATAGCAGCTGC